AAAATGTCTTTATTTGAGAGCATGTTGTCGAGCATGCTTTAATACTGATTTAAAATATGTAAAGAAAAGTGAACATCGCACCTGTTTACAGCTGCCTTACATTAAAAGAACTTCAACACATATATTTACCTATTTAACTTTTTATCTAAAAAAACTCTGCAGTGTAACTTTTACTCTCATTTTTATGTATATCTTGTTATATTTCAGATTTGGTTTTAGCTGTTTTGTTTCAATTATATATTTTTATGTCTTTGAATGTGTTTTTCTGCTCATATGAGATGTGCTCTAAACTTCCTGCTGACCTCAGCTCCATCACTACTGTCTCTACTTTTAAAGCAAAACTCAAATCTTATCTAATCTCCCAAACACATGTAAACGTACTCTTTGTACATGTACGATCACGTGTTTGGTTATTGTTGTATCATGACTTCATTGATTTGATTTCTGTATCTTATTCGTGACTGTGGAGATGTTTTTGTTGTCGTATAAAATCAATAATAAAGTCAGTTCAGCTAACAATTGTATCGAGCACATGGCAAGGGCCACATTCAATGAACTCTCCCTGCCAAAGGGCCAAATTGTAGTATGAATCAATTATGTCTCAAATTTAACTCAACATATGCCAGTGATCAAATATTATTATGGATGTATTTCTGATTTTCATGATTTCATGGCAGCTTTTTGTCACATTTTCTTCATGTTTCCAATTTATTGATGTGTAAAAAATTGACCTGAGGGCCACATGTGCCCCCCCCCCCACCCGGTATAGGGGACAGGGATCAGGATTGGGGGGTCACTGCCAGATGTTTCTTAAATCATAGATCATAACAAACACTTTGGTTGACTACATGCTGTAAAGAAACACGATAGAATATCTAATTCATTCACTTCAGTTGGTTAAAAGTCTTACAATCCTAATTCACATGGGCTGCGTGGTACCTGGGCTTACCTGTGTTAATTAACTTAACTCACAGCCAACTTAATAAATCTCTTTAAGTTGAAATGTCAGATAACCTTATAAGCTCAGGTTTGCTAACTGGGGCTGGCTAAAGCTCCCTGAAGCTAAATGCAAGGCTGCAAATAACTCACACTTTGTGTTCTGCTAATCTTTGGAGCTGATGGAAAGAAACAGAAGAAGTGAGCGACAGGTAAATAAGCTGTCACGCTTCTTTCTTTCTTCTTCATCCAGAGGCAGCCTCGGCATTAGCATCAAATTATACCAACTGAGCTAATCTTTGCTCACCTGCTCCACTGAAGTCACCGTCTCCACTCCGTCATCCGACAACATTTCGGCGGCGTGGCGCTCGTTAAAGCACCGTAATGTCCTCGGCGCGCCGTCCATGCTGGAGACGTTGTTGCGAACAAACCCGTTTCTGCAAGAAAAAAGAAACAGATGCCGAGTTCTGTGAGCGCCGCTGGTTTGTTTTGATAGTTCGCTTTTACTTTCCACACCGGACTCCAGCCCACTTCCTGCAAAAGGGGGGGGGGGGGGGGTTGGAGGAGGAGTGTGGGCGGAAACTGCGCGAGAAAACCCCCGCTACGGCGTCTCCGAGGGGTCAAAAATCTTCCTCCGTTTCTTTCTTAGTAATGCGAATGACGGTGTTATGAAGAGAAATGCGTCCCTGTCAAGAAGTGCATACACCTCGCGGAAGAAAAATGTTCTCTTTTCTCGGGGGGCAGATCTGTGATGGAAGCCCATTTCTGCCAGTAAAAAAATAAATACAAATGAAAATAATAAAGGTTCATAATTTCAATCATTTTTTATATCATTATTTTGACGTTTTATCTCATTATTATGACTTTATATCTCATAATTTTGACTTTTTATTTCATTATTTTGACTTTTTATCTCATTATTTTGACTTATCTCAATATTATGACTTTATATCTCAATTTCGACTTTTTATCTCATTATTATGACTTTATATCTCATAATTTTGACTTTTTATTTCATTATTTTGACTTTTTATCTCATAATTTTGACTTTTTATCTCATTATTTTGACTTATCTCAATATTATGACTTTATATCTCAATTTCGACTTTTTATCTCATTATTATGACTTTATATCTCATAATTTTGACTTTTTATTTCATTATTTTGACTTTTTATCTCATAATTTGACTTTATTATTTTCATTTTTATTTTTTTAACTGGCGGAAATGGGCTTTCATAGATCTGTGATGGAAAAGTATGTTTAATTCATCTTTAATAAAGTTAAGAGTCATTATTCCGAAGACTCTTTTATTATTAGCCTGCATAAAAAATACAGATTTAAAAATACTTTTTTTTACCTGCTGCAATTGCACTTTATAACGACTCCCCTTTAAGTGAGGACAGAAGAAATTTAAACTTTTAAACTTTAGCCTGAGCTGCATATATCAAACTGTATTTTGCACCTTTATTTCTCTATCATACTATGCACTGGCAGAGCTAGTATTTTGTACTGTTATCTATGAGTAACATCTACTTATGCACATGGACCATCCAGACCACTTTTTTATCCTGGCTATGTATTGTGGGCTCATGTTTTTTGTATGGGTGGGATATGTATGTATATATATGTTGTGTGTTTGTATGTATGCTGGCTGCTGGAACACCTAAATGTCCCCGCTGGGATGAATAAAGTATATCTTATCTTATCTTATCTTATTTATCTTAAATATAACCTGCAAACAGTGTTTGACTCTGAAGTGTCTGTAGAGGAAATTTAAGGGTGGATTCAAAATACGGCAGCCAAGTTTTCTAATGGTAGGTGCAAAAGGGGGCAGTGTAGAAATTGTGCCATATTCTGCATTTGTCCAGCGAGGTGCATTATTGGCAGGCATGCATTTCTCAGCATAACAGCGGCACACAAACACACGACCTCTTATAAAAGTGCTCTGCGTTAATTTTGACATAAATATGGCTCGCCAACTGAGTAAATTAACATAAACATTCAAATTTCATATATTTTCTGTCAGTGTAGAGTGGCACTGACGTCGAAAGGTGCAATGCCACCGCGTACCTCGTTACTGCCTCTGATATGCGTCAAGTCAGGTACAAACACAAGGAAATAGCAGCAGAAGTGCTGTCATTCAGCCTTCAAAATAAACCCTCAAGTGTCGTTTAGAGGAAACATTTCTCACTTAAATACATATCCAATGTTGACAGCCTGTATGAACGTCTGCTACACAACTAACACAGCATTCAATATATTCTTCTTATCTTAAAAATGCAAAACTATGGAGTTGTGGTGGTGAAATTTCAAAGTAGGAGAAGTGAAACTTTTATATTCTGTATTTTCTGATCTAAATACACAAACTTTACTTAAAGAGAAATGGGTCCCTGGAAAAAAAAAACTAGAAAGCCAGGAGAGTTATAGTTTCACTGTTGCAGGTATACCCACCATAACTTCTCACGTATCGTTTTATCTTCAAACTGTGTTACAGGGACCACATTTTCCTCTGAGGACAGTTTGTGTAGAGTTATAAACATATACCACATAATCTGTACACTTCTTCAACTTTCATATCTCTAGTGCACCTTAAAAGTGCATACTTTGTACATGTTTTTTAAACTTGTGCACTCTGATTTCTTAAAGACTAGATAACTAACCAAACCAAGAGTTCCTGAAGGCTCTAGCTTCACTCTGTAAAAAATACTTAGAGTTAATCTGATTACTTGAAATTTTTCTGCAAAGAGAACTGGTTATAAAAGTTGTCCAGTTAGAAAAAGGCATAATGCCACAGAAGTTTTGAAGTGGGAATAAAAGTTTCAGATGGGGAATCCTACTGGCTGAAGAAGTGGTACTAGACTTAGAATTACGTAGACTTTCTTTATTGTCATTCAAATTGTACCTTACAGTGCAAACCAGAACAAACTACTGGCATTTGAGAGGGCATGATGATAGACTTGGTTGTGATTTAACAAAACTGGGAGTGTGGCCCTTCCAACAACCCTTTTTAATTTATTGTTGTCCAACATGGTTATCAATAGCCAAACTTATCTTGAGTTACTAAATCTAATTCAAATTATTGTTGATGTTTTATTTGCCAAAGTACAATTTCCCCCAAGTTATTTGATCTGGCCATATTGGGAGCAGACCTACTTTAGTGTTCAGAAGTGTGAAGCATGAATGCTGTTCAATGTTGAGGATATGCACAAAAAGTAAACAGAGAAAACATGCCTTACATGGGACAGATAAGTATGATAACTTAAGTAGGCTGAAAGAAAATCATGACATTATAATATATTTTTTTAATTATTTGTTTTGGATTACAAAACATGAGACAGGCTATTTAATTTGCTACCAAACATATATCTTATCATCAGTGGTGTAGTGGTATACCCACTTCTTTTTCAGTCTCCATAGAGTATACCTCTTCTAAATCTCCTCTGATTCACAACGATTGATTGACAATATTCAGAAGGCTATAATGCTGCAATTTGTTTCTAGGATGGTGAAGGGATGACACTCCCTAATCTGTCTGTAATTGACAAGAACACGCTAAATTTGCAAGTAGTCTTAAATGTCATTTTTTTTTACAACAGAGGCCATTTATAGAATAGAATAGAATAGAATAGAATTACTTCATTGATCCCAAACTGGGAAATTGTGGCATTACCTCAGCAGGTTTTCCAAACACACAATATGAGTAAAGAAAAACACAATATAATATTAAATACAAAGTAAATAAGCACTAAAAAATATCAAAACTAAGAATGGGAATAAATCCAACGTGGATTTAATTTAGCATTACTAGTCTTAAATGTGAAAGATTAAATGTAAATGGACAGTATTGACATAGGGAGCTGTGCAATCAGGGTTACTACAAGTTAAAGTGCACGAGTGTAGACATATAAATATATCCTCTGCTGGACGGGACAATTAATAGTATACCCACTTATTAAGGCACCACTGTTTATCATCTTTGTACCACTTAAATCACATCATGTTCTTCTTCACAACATTAGGCTTTTATGCTGGAAGGCTCCACCGGAAGTCTCCTTTTCTCTCATTAACTATGGCTTGATGATGGCTCACCGCACCCACTAGAAGCTGGAGGCTACCTGAGCAGCTGGAGCATCCCTGTATTGTTACCCCACCGAGCCAGCCTCAGTGGACAATAAGTCGCAGAGCCACAGCCTCATGTTTACAGTCTGAGCAGACATGGGATTCGGGTGGGGAGAGACTTCTCGTCCATCGCTGAGTTAGCTGACTGGAAGCTTTTTTTTAATTTATTTTTTTCATGTTATTTGTTTTTAATTCAACACTACATCCAGCACCATGGCTAAGCAGTACGATGTGCTCTTCCGACTCCTGCTTCTCGGAGATTCTGGGGTTGGGAAAACATGTTTGCTCTGCAGATTCACGGACAACGAATTTCACCCGTCTCACATCTCCACTATCGGTAAGACTCAGCAACAGTGCAAGCCTTTTTTTTTTTTCCTATTCTCATTTATTCTTCACTTGTGTGGAAAAAAAATAGCATCCCCTTTCGTTTGCGTGATCTTACGGCGTTTCCCTTTGATGTCATATGCGTGTCACTCTCTCCTTCGAGGCCACCGTACTTTCAATTTCAAACACCACGAATTAGACTTTAAAATAAAAAAAATCAGAGACTGTTATATTATTAACTAGAATTAGCGTGCTAGAAACTATAATATCAGCATGATAACATTGGCTGGGGAAGCCCTGAGGGGGAAGATCCATCACTTGGCAGTCATGCTCATGAGTTTACTAACTATCAGCAGTAAAAACCTGTGTGTTTATTTTGTGCAATACAAAATAAACACATGGCACACATTGTTATTATTAAGAAATGGGGTTTGTTTGGCAGCAAGCATCCTTGTTTGTCTGCAAACATGGGCTCCTGGGACACCCCAGGGTTTGTCAGGTGGATCTAGGTTCCCATTTATTCAGAGGAAAAGATTCAGGTTAATAGTTTAGTTTCAGTGGATGCTTTTCATGTTCTGAACTTTGATTTGAATCGTGATAAAATAAGACAATATCCTGTTGGATATCATCATGATGGTTGTTTTTGTTTGTTTTTTGACAAACCCTGACACAGTCTCGCATCCTTTCTCATCAAATAAATAATGTCTAGAGTTGATGACAGAGAATTTGAAAATTTGTTGAAGTTTTTTTTTTTTCTTTAAGAAATAAGAAAAAGAAAATTCAGAAATTCAGTTGTTTCATTTTCTTCCTTCATCACAGATCACAGTCTTTGGTTGGAAACACAAATCTTTTGGTTTTCAAACTTCAAAAACAGCTATTAAAAGGTATTAGTTCGGCATCAGTTTCACACATTGTTATTGCTAAATTGACTACGCAACTAACAAATTCTCAAAGGAAAACCATCCAGCTCTTTCGCCTTAAAGCTCCTGTGAGGAACTTTGTTTTTTTCAGGATTTTGGCGACCCCTGTGAACAAACATCTTTTTTTTTTACTTATCTAGGTAGCGTTTCACTGGATCTTTAAAGGAGCAATACTTAACTCTGACACCTAGCGTTTAAAATGGGTTACTGCAGTCCAAAGTCAAAACATTGAAGAGCACCGCCCTGTCCCTGGAGAACATTTCTGCATTGTAACCTCTTCCATTTTTCTTTATCCTAGCTCTACCACGTTTCTGGTCGTGGAGCTTGTTAGAAAAACGCTTGCCCGTTTTCATTCGCTGCATTTCACTGCTGTTTGCCTGGAAAACCGAGGGGTGACGTACACAACCGCTTACCTTCTCTGTTCAAAAAAAAACAAACCATTCCAGACCGGAATGTAAACTTTGGAAGAGACATACTGGCCGCTGCGTTTTTTGACAGCGAAGCCAGCACTTCAACACAACATACTTCCTTAATGTCTGATGATATAGAAAGATCATTTTATGATTGAATTCAGTAGAAATTTACATATTGGACCTTTAAACGAAGGACATATAAAGCAAACTAACAGCATGTGTTCCTTCTTTTGGTCATGGATTTGCAACACCCTTAAAAATAACTTCTGACTTGACATCTTCCCTTATAGGACTGTGCAGTATATCTTCCTCCAAAGTAAGGATTCATATTTCAGCGCCCTGTTTTACTGTGCTTCACTTTCAAATCGGGTGAATAAGGACCTGCAGAAAACTGCTCTTTTTTTCATGTTCGGCGGCGGTGGCGGTGGCGGCGGTGGCGGTGGTGGTGTCTCTTTTTTTCATCTTCTTTGGCTTCCCTTCCTGTGTGTTTGTGTGTTCACTTAAAAGCGATCCCGTCTCTCTGTGAGCTCAGATTCTTTTATGTTGCTACTCCTTTCCGCAGTAATTAGCCACAATGTTGAGGTGGCTCAGTCAAAACGTTTGCTTTGTGGCACAAGGGGGAAGCTCGGGTCAGGTAACGATCCCACTCTACCTGGTGGAATAGCCGGCTGTTAATGAAGAAAAGACAGAGGTTGCGTTGTCTTAATAAGGTCAAGTAGATAAATCATCAAACCGGTGGTCAGGCGGGGATTTGTAGACAGATGGTGCATGAAAACATGAAAGAGGAAAGATAGAGGACACAGTTGCACCATTTCCTCATAACTTGGAAGCGATTTTAGTGGCCGCTGCTGTGTTTGCGGTGGATGCTTTAATTGGCAAATCAAAGCATTTGTTATTTATAAATGCTCTGTGAACCTGCAAACGCTTTACACCCACGACATGTGGCTCATGTTTAGTTTCTAAACTCTTACTCCAACACTGGAACTCACCTACTACAACTACGTATGATATGCCATATTAAAATGCTCTCTCAGCTTCCTCAGCATTGCAGGGGTGAGGAATAAATACAGATACGTAATATATCGCCTTCCTGAAACCCTTAACCCCATACAATTATCGTATTGCTGGTGCCAAATATTGAGATTTTATTCAAACCAATATGGCACTCTAAACATTTCCCTGCCAGTTTGACCCAGGCTAACAAAAACAGAAGTTAATTGGCTGAAGAAGAAGTTTACATCGGGATAAAAGAAGAAGAAGAAGATGGTGAGATAATGTCGGGCAGCGAAGAAAGATGGGTGAAAGGATGAAGCGAGATGAGAGGTGAAACTGAGTCCGAGTATCGTGCATCGTGTTGAAAGCCCCCCCTCGATCGCCACCACTATCCTCAAGGGGTGTTTGTACGGACACATCTTTTTGTGTAATCAAAGCAAACGCTCCAAAGCACTGCAGCATGAGGCTCGAATTCAAATTTTAAACTCGCAGTCTGCTGCAACTAGTAATAATTTATGCTCAAACTCAAATCCATGCTATTTTTAGTTGTGCACATAAAGCTCCACACAGGGAACATCCACCCCTGCAGGTTTATGTTTACAATATGCATTGCAAACATTTGTGCAAAAAAAAAAAAAAAATGTGTATGCTTTTGTTCCCGTGTTCCAAGTGTTATATCCACAGTTGGATGTGTAGAAATCTGGCTCTCGTCTCGGTGCAAGGTGATGGTGGAGTTGAGATATCTTTATTGGACTTTATCTTAAAGCCACGGTGAGAGGTCTTTCATGATCCTGCAATAATTCAAACTCCTCTTCTCACACATAAAACTCCCCCCCCAACAAAGTCCAAATAGAGAGAAAGAGATAAAGAGTGACCACTGTCACAGCTCTCCTATGGACGATCAATAAATAATTTCCCAACCTTCACGCTGACAGAGGGATATAAATCCTCTCCCGGGACCCCCCCTCATGTGTGGCTCTATAATTCATTGGTTCATGTAACAGTTGGCTTGCTCTGTTTTTGCTGTTAAGTATCTCAAAAACTGCTGGGATCTCTCTAACCCATTTGGGGGTTTATTCAGCCGAGCTCAATAAACATTAGAGGATAAAAAGCTGATGAGGGTCTTTATTCAGCATCTCCTGCTGTATTAGTTAAAATAAACCTTAAAAAAACAACTCTTAGCAAACAATGTGAAGATAAAAAGATGAACATGGAAACTGTGAACTCCCAAAATTTACTTAATTATGTAACTGATGAACATCCTATACCAAAACCATGGACATTCATATGCCACTTAAACCACCTCCACTCTAATAGTGATACATAACACGAGTTTTTTGGACAGTGAGCCTAAGGGATTTGCTCACTTTCAGCCACAAAAAAAGCATTTCAGGTCATGGCAAAGGTGGCTCAATCATGTTAACGTCTCTTATCTGTGCAGGTGGGTCAAGCTGTTCCATCCCAACATTGGGGAACCTTTTGTTAGGCACCTCACGTTTATGCACATATTACGTTTGTTGCAGATACAGGGAAAGAGGACCCAAAAGCAGACTGGCCAAAGTATTTCTTACAAAATAGGCATCAAAGAAAGCCTTTATGGTAGAAGAATGAGTTCAGTCGGGTGAAGACAAACATGAAATAAATTCCGAAAGATGACGAGATCCAGAAAAACAAGGCGAGAACACCAGGAGGACTTTAACACCTCCTTATAGCCATTCTATGGACAAGTGTTACAAATTAGCACGGTCTGCTGTAAACACTGTGATACATGCATTCATTGAATTGATTTTTTCAGTTTACTCATGTATATTGTATCTGTCCCTATCAAATAAACCATAGATAAAATAAATAAATAGTGGGAAGGTAAAAAAACTATTTGGGCATTGATTGGTTGATGGATGGATGATGGATGACTGGTTGGTTGGATGGATGGTTGGGTGCATGGATGGATGGATGGATGGATGATGGATGGGTGAAAGAATGGATGGATGGTTGGGTGGATGGATGGATGGATGGGTGAAAGATTGGATGGATGGTTGGGTGGTTGGATGATGGATGATTGGATTGATGGATGATGGTTGGGTGGATGGATGGATGGATGGATGGATGGTTGGGTGGATGGATGGATGGGTGGGTGGTTGGATTGATGGATGATGGTTGGATGGATTGATGATGGTTGGATGGTTGGGTGGATGGATGGATGGATGGTTGGGTGGATGGATGGATGGGTGGGTGGTTGGATTGATGGATGATGGTTGGATGGATTGATGGATGATGGTTGGATGGATGGATGGATGGATAGGTGGGGCATAATTATCAGACAAAGTATACATTTTGATCGCATCACAGCAGCTCCATTAACAACATTAAATATAAGATACAAAGAAATACATTTGGCACAAATTTCAAACACCAAACAAATATTCAAGTCCCTTCAACAAACTTTTGTTCTGGGATTAAGCTCCATATTGACCCATGTACAAAAGTTCTGTTTGACATTTTGAAAACTCTGAACGCTGTATCTCAGGTTCTATGGCAATAGTTCATATTCACAGTTCAGACTCAGAGTGTGTTTAAGGTCAGAGAAAATGATGTTAGCTTTAAATGTACAAGAAAGAGATGTCCATGCAGAGTATTGTTTCATATTTAACAGCTAAGGTGCCATGCTGGGTCAATCCAATGAAAGC